AGGGAGAAGCAGGCTTCCCGCGGAGCAGGGAGCCCGATGCGGGGCTCGATCCCAGGACTCTGGGATCATGACCTGAGCCGAAGGCAGACGCTTAAGGACTGAGCCACCCAGGCACCCCTCTTAAAGTTATTTTTAAATAACAGTTTTAGCATTTGAATAATTCAGGATTTTCTTTTGAGCTCCTCCATTTCATTTTGAGGTTTTTCTGTCAAAAGTGAAACTAAGAATGAATCATAACATATGTGGGGTAGTCCCATGTGCTGCACATCCTGCCGAAGTCTGTTTTTGAAATTGCTCTCACAGAGACCTTTATGTAGTAAAATTACAAAATTAGTGGTACATATAATATATGGGATTTCTGTCATTTTTTTTGCTATGAAATAAAGTTTATGTAGACATTAATGGAAATGGTTAATATTACTTCTGTTTGTCTTGTAATTGGTTTTGTATGAGACAAGTAGCTTTCAACTATCTGCACAAAACGTTATGGGAAGAATATAAAACCCAAAGAATATTAAACAATTTCTTATTATTTAACATTAACTTAAAATATCCTAGTGTCTTGCTCAGATCTCTTTTCTGACTCAGGCCCACTCTTGGCCTCCAACCATGCTGGAGGCAGCAGAGAAGAGTTGATGATCATTGGTTACGATGAGCTAGAGATGCTCTTCCTCCCTCCCCCAAAATAGATTGTCCTTGTCTCAGAATTGTGTCTAGGTTTAAACCTGTCTGTTTAAACCTAGAATACTGATGGAAAAATCTCTCTCATTTCCCTTTAATAGATGAAGCGCAGGGTGATAAAGCCAAGCAAAGTATCAGGGCAAAGTGTACAGAATATCTTGATAGAGCAGAAAAACTAAAGGAGTACCTGAAAAAGAAAGAGAAAAATCCACAGAAGCCAGTGAAAGTGGGACAGCCAAGTCCAGCTGACGAGAAGGGGTATGTATTTTAGAGTATTAGATTTTACTATATCTAATGAAAAGATAAAATTACATTTAATTTGTGAAATCAGTTTCTTTTGTTTAAACAAGGTGTTGGCAATCCATGACTCATAGGCAAATCTGACCTGCTGCATGTTTTTGTAAATAGTTTTATTGGAACATAGTCTCTCATGTCTAAAAAATGAAACTCTGGGATGGGGTTATCGGGCCTGGTTGGGTTTGAAGGCAGGAGGTTCTGGTTTGCGTTAGTGGATGTGATACAGTTCATGGGATGCAGTTGGCACAAAGCACTTAGATAACCTCCTGTGGTCACTAGGAATGGAGTGTCTTTTGAAGGCAGTGCTTCAGGGCCTCTGTGGCTACTACCAAAGGCCATTTTGAAGGACAGAGGAATGTAAGAACTAGAGTCCACAATAGCCAAACTATGGAAAGAGCCAAGATGTCCATCAACAGATGAATAGATAAAGAAGATGTGGTATATATACACAATGGAATATTATGCAGCCATCAAAAGGAATAAAATCTTGCCATTTGCAATGACGTGGATAGAACTGGAGGGTATTAATG